ATATAATATGAATAAAGAAAGATCTCTGTGCGTAGTCAATTGATTCAACAATGACATGTTCAGTTTTTAAACATTTTAGTGCCAGAAAAACACAGCTGTCCTTATGATGTTCTTCTGTTTATTTTTAGATAACTATGTTATGAGAATGAAAATGTGTTGCTTTTCTCTTGTAACCTTTGTTTTCTAATATACCTCTAGGGATAATTAATTGTAGAAAAATGTTCTATATGACAGAGCTCTCTTAATAAATTTGTAAACCAAGATGTTCTACTGCTACATGGCTGTCACATACAAGGTACATGATGAGTTGCGTTTTGTCTTTCCAATGAAATCTACCCAAAAGTAACACTCTCTCTCCCACTCTTGCAAAGCCTATAGCAGGGGCTTAAGTGAAAGAATAGCATAAGATGCCCCTCACAGAGTCTTCCTGAAATTGTTGTGTGGGCTGCGGGGTAGATGAGGTTTGCTGCTGACACTTGGTGCAGTGTGTGCTCAACACTCAAATTGGGCAACTCCATTGGTGGTATAGAGGGTATCCTCCCCCATTGACAGCCTCTTTAGAAAGTCTAGCATCAGCAGATGCACTAGACCCAAGTCGTCCTTATGCTTGGGCAAACATAAGGACTTCCACTGGGATTGGACACTACATTTTTGCACCTTCTCTCCTGCTGTCCAAACCTGCCCTGAGTCACAATTTAGGCCTTCAGAAATCAGAGATGGAAAAGACCTTTTAGATCATCTATTTCACCTCTCATTATTGGCTGTCAGCTCTCTATTGGCTTTCCAATAGACAAGGGTGTTTTGGTATGGTATGGCTTTGTTTGAAAACTTGAAATGGTGGGGCTATTTGGACAGGAAAATTGCCCAACCTGTTTGTCACTTTTTAAATGTATGTGGATGTGGATCTGAATAAATGATTTTGCTGTTGCTGTTTAAACCATTCAGATACTTGTAGACGGATTTTGTGTCTCCATTTAAAATAATTTTATCAAATTATATACATTATAACTAGTTCTGTTAGGGGCCCAATCTTGTATTCCTCATTCAGGCAAAACTCCAACTGGCTATAAAGGGTCTGAGTAAGGGTTTTGTTTACAGGGCTCTGAATCTTTCTATATAAATCCATCCTTCTTGCCCTTAGTCAATTTATTGCTCTTTTCTGAATTTCCTCCAGCTTATTGACATCTTTCTGGTTCTGAGTGCCCAGAACTGAATGCAATAGTAAAGGATGAGCTTGACTACTTAAGCTTTGATGGAAAAAGGCAATATTCAGGCTTGTTTTCTTCTGGCATGCTTCTTCAGTGGCAAAACATCTTTCCACAGTTTTAAGTGATATGAAAACTTGAAGCTAAAACTGTTAAAGCCCCCAATCTGTTTTAACTGACAGTAAAATTTGAAGGAGGTGTTGCTTCCCCCTCAACCACTAAATGTGACAATAATTATGCCTATTATATAGACATAGTAAATATTATGAGAGTGCAGGAGAACAGAGGTACAAAAGGAAAGTCTATGGAGTGGGATGGAAGGACAGCAACTGGGTTAAACAGAAGTATTCCAACAGATATCTTTTGAGAAGAGAAACAACAAACCATTTGTCAGTTCAATTAACATGAAAAATAGCTTACTGTGATAGGGTGCTTGGAGGGCAGGGTGACGTAGTGGTCAGTGCACCTGGCCTCCAAACCCTTGTGTCTCTGTCAGGGGGCAGTAGCAGTGAAAGGACAGGAGTGATTGGGCCTCCCTCCTACATATGGTCCTTTGCCCATAAATGGGGTGTGGGAAGTAACACTGGCAGGTTCCCCCCCAAAGAGAACCAAAATCTGCTGCCCTGGGCTACTTCCTACCTATGCGCTCCTTCAATTTTGGGGTATAGTCCAAACAGTGAGTAGCTTCGCAAAGTCCAAATGAGCAGTTCCTGAAAGGCCGGAAGTTGATGATGGCTGGAGAAGGCACTGCCTGGGGCCTTACCTGCTCTGTGGTCTCCTCTCAGGCTCCACCTTCTGTCTGGTTTCCTGGAGAAGGATTCTTCTCTCCTGAAGCCTGTCCACCACCCCTTGCTTGGGCTTCTGAGCCCCTTAATCTGCTCCTCCAGCTGGAGCATGCTTGGCAGGCCTGTAGGGGCAGCACTACATGGGATGATATTACCTTTTAACTCTTTCGGGCACAGTGTAGGGTTTGTATATCCCATCACATTTACACTTTGATAGTGAACGTACCATACACAAAGATACTTGCAGAAACTACCGTGACACTAGACAATCCATTCCATCCATTTAGCAAAGGCTTGCTCTTCCCATTTGAAGGAAAGTGAAATAACAAAGTTGTGCCTCAAAAATTATTCTGTATCTACCCAACAACAAATATTATATTGAGCCTTTCCCTTTAAGGAGGAACCCTAATGTTGTTTGAACTACCACATATAGAGCATGCCCTTCTCAATCTTTGCACAAAGACTATAACTCGATCACATATGGAACTGGTTGAAATTTGGGGATTTTGGTTTGCCTTAAGTTTTGGGATTTTTGAATTTACTTTTGTTCTGATGGTACTTGCTTGTGTTTCAGCAAAAGTTAGATTTCATGAAACTATTTTGTTGGAAAATTGCCCATTATCTCTAATCATATATCATAGTTCCAGAACAAGAACCTGTGTTTGCACCATAACTATTATTATTATTATTTTAAATGTTGAGTCTTTGTCCATTCCTGACTTCTCTACCCAAGCAAAATTTCTATTGCTAAAAACTGCAGATATCTTATGAATGCATAAGAACGTCAGGATCAAGTAAATGGATTCTAAGGATTAGATCCTCCACTAGTGTAAATGAGTATAGCTCCTGATGCTGCACATCAGTAGAGCTACACCCATTTATACCAAATGAGGACCTGGCCCTAACTTTGATTTTTAAGGATTTATGTATATATGTGAGTAAACTCAGTAGACTTGAATCTTGGTTGCTCCATTCCTTGTGTAGCCATTCACACCTGCACAAGGTGGGTCAGCATCTGCTGTAAAATCAGAATGGTACCTATATTGCACAGGTGTAAAGACTAAGAAAGATGCAAGACAGAGGTCAATCAAAGTAATTGGGGTACTATCAGTCTTTGAAGTTTTTGAGTTAAATCACTGAGGATTTTGTCATTTTCCCTGTCAAAATCTGAAGACCACACATACTGCCACAGGTATGGCAGATTTATAGAAAAAATAACTTTGATTTTTTTATTGACTGACTGAAGTTTAATTCTTTCAATTCTTAGAAATATTTTGGGAAATATTTGAGAAATTTCAATGGTAAGTAAAATTAATTATTTTAAAAAGACCATTTTGTGTTGCGCAGCACTTAATAATTAGACACGGAGATTGTTAGACTTTTCTTTCATAGCTAGAGCTGGTGGAGTAACTTGTATTGTTATAGTTTCTTCCTATGAGCGCTGAGTTTAGATGAATTATATTAATAGGTTATTTGATGTGATGGTGACCATAGGTAGGGACTCATGATGCATTCTTGTTAGTTAGAGGTTTATTTTCATGCTGTTGGAATATACAATTAGATAGGTCCTGGTAAGGTTTGTTCATTTTAATGAAATGTGCTTAATTAAGTTCATCCAGTTTCATGTGGTTTGGATTTGAACAAAACTTTGGATCCATATGTTGCCGGCACCCAGTGCCGAGAGGCTGAACAACAGCTTGAGTTGGTTCGTTACCCGGTGTGCTACACCCAATAATCACAACGGGGTGGAGAAGCAGAAAAGTTTATTTGAAGCTTCAAAAAGGTACAGGGAGATTTGAATCTCAAATCCTGTATACAGAGCAGGAAGTTACACAGGCTTTTATACATCCTTTTTCCTAGCATACTTATCCAATAGCAAGGTGCCCTGAGTATCCATATAGCCAGCCAATCCAGTTCCCAGCTAGTTCCCTGGTTCTCTGTATCATTTGTTAAACTATACATAAAGCTGCTTTGTTCAGCATTGTTTTTCCATATCTCCCTTGTTTGGCCTTGCTTAGTTTCAGGCAGTCTGACTCTGCAGCATATTGTTGCAGATTCTCAGCATAACTGCTGTGTGTGCCTCCAGGCAGGGGGGCCAAGGACACTTGGGCCTAGTGCGAGGGGGCTTCATCGACACTCATGGTCTTCCATCCCCTCGAGTTACCTAGTGGCCATGCCCCAGTGTCCCCAACACATAAAACTAAAAAAGTGAACCTAGCACAGATTCTTGCTATCCCGAACTGTGGTTTTTGCATAGCCTTGATTACAGTATCTCAGGAAGTGGATGTGTCTCTCTCACACTCCCTTCTCCCAGGAACCAACTCCAGAAACCCCTTGGTCCCAGCTCAGAGCACCCGCCTACACCCCAAACTCCTCATCCCCAGCCCCACCCCAGAGCCCTCACCCCCTCCCACACCCCAACTCCAATTTTGTGAGCATTCATGGCCCACCATACACTTTCTATTCCCAGATGTGGCCCTCAGCCCAAAAAGTTTGCCCACCCCTGGTCTAGATTATCCTTAGTCCTGCCCTGAGTGCAAGGGACTGGACTAGATGACCTCTCGAGGTCCCTTCCAGGCCTATGATTCTATGGCCCCTGCTGTCTCTGCTCAGCCTCGCTCGCTGCTATTCAGGAATTAGCGCTCTGAGCGCCCAGCGACAAGGCGCAATCTGGGCCCAGCCCCCAACGGCTGGCAGATGCGCACCCCCTCGAAAGAGCAGGCCCACTAAAGGGCCCAATCCTCTCCCCACCCAGTGGCAGCAGAAAGATGCCCTGACCCCCCCCGCTGTTCTAGAGAACCACCATCCGGACTCTACCAACGTATCACAGAGGGCCAAGGGGCAGAAACATTTTCCGCGGAGGCAGTCCCAGCTCCGTTCCGAAGGGGGTGGTTGACGGGGTGGGAGACATGAGGCTAGGGGAGCCGCATCCATCCCCCCCCCCCCATGGGGGAGAGGAGAATGGTAGAGTCTGAATTTAAATGAAACGGTCCCTGGAGCTGCGTTCTCTCCCCCGCCTGTCTCTGCGCCGGCAAGAAGTGGGGCGTGTGGGCAGGGCCGCGTGCCCGACCGGCCCCGCCCCGCCCCGGCCGGAGGGAGACTCGCCGCGGCAGAGATCTGGGGCAGGCGGGGTGAAGGCTGCTCTCAGCCAGCTGCTGCCGGTGCGTGGAGCGCGGAGAGGCGGGTAAGGGAGAGCGAGGCGGGCGCATCTCCCCCTTCTGACCCCGGCCGGGTGTAACTCCCGCGGTGCTGGGAGGGGGCTCTGCCCCTCGCCCGTTGTGGGGGCTAGCGGGACTGTTACTCCGCGGCCCCCTGCCCGGGTAGGGGAGCAGCCGCCGCGCCGGAAGGAGCGCTGCGCTGCGGGCACCAGCCACAGGTGCGCCACGGGGGCCCCTGTGCAGTCAGCCGGGGCTCTGCTGGTGCGGGTCGGAGTTTCCTCAGCGCTGGTTTCAGCGGCGTGGCTGCCGCGCCGGGGGGCCCCTCTACGGCTTGCTGCCTTGCGGGCGCGCCCCTGGCGGCCGGTGCCGTTCTGCCGCCAGGCGGGCCGGGGTAGTGTCTAACGCCGAGCCCGCTCCTGCGGGAGCGTTTCTCTCGTCCCCCGAGCGCGGTGTCCAGTGTTTCCCCCAGGAATTGAAATGGGGGGTCAAGGCTGATGAGGGGTGAGACCGTGAGGGTGAAGCTGGGCTGTATGGCACCAGAGTAAAAACCTGAATGTTTCATGACCATTCTGTTAGATTTTAAAATTATTTCACAAATTAAAGTTGGCTACTCAAGCCTTCTATGAAGCACTACATCTACATCCTTCTGGGTTTCTTGTTATAATTTTGCACAACTCTGTTAATGAACTTGTTGAATGCAATGCAATGCATTCATCTTTGGTGGCTTTTCCTGTGTCCAGTACTTCCACTCCTTCAGTTGATATGCTCATTAGTTCATTCACATGATCAGGCAGAAGGCGACCTCTTTCAAAACACAAAAATCTATTCAATGGTGAAAAAGAACGCTCAACTGTAGCTGTTGTGACTGGGAGTAGCAAGAGATGAATTCCTACTACTTTCAGCCCAGGAAACATAGCATAAAGATCGGTCGAGCCATTAGTGATGATAAAAAAGAAATTGAAGTCAAATCTTCATTCATTCGTCATATGATATTCCACTCTGTGTTCAAATTCTCTATTCTATCCTGAGTACATGGCAGCTCCTTTGCTGGTAGTGCCTCACTCCACTCAACTGTCTGTGTTTTATAAGACAGGGATCTGTAAAAGCTATGTAGAGGTTGAGTAGAATCTAGAAGTCACTGTTGTAGATTTTTAAAAATCAAGTCTGTGTACTTTTTCAGTTGTCTTAACAAACACTTCTTGTCCCCCTCACTTAAGGATTCAATATAAATGCCTTCATTAATCAGCTTCTGGACTGAAGTCTTTGCTTCGTCCAGTACTTTTTCAATGGATAGCTCTCTGATTGAGCCAAATGTAGCTTCTATTGCTGAACAAAAGTCTACTACTGTTGTAGCAGATGCCTGGATGGCATTGTTTAATGACCCAAGTGTTTTCAACAGTAGACTTACAAGAGAGAGAATGGCAATAGTCTTCTCTGAACGTAGTAGCAAAAGTAATTCACCAGCCTCACTCCTTAGATCCATCCCATCTTGGTGGATACTTTCCAAAGCCAGTAATTATGGCTGGAGTAATTTTAAAACAACAGCCAAGGATTGCTCACGAGAAAGCCAGAGGGTTTTCCCAGGTTGGACTAATTTGAACTTCAGTCCCAGTGTATCTTCTACATTTTCCAAGATATTCAGCCTTTTTGGACTCTTGCTGAAAAAAGAATATAATGAAGATACTAAATTTATAGCTTTTAAAGTGTCTTTTGAAGAGTCTGCAGCTTGTACTAGCGCAAGTTGGAGTAGATGGCCTCTGCAGTGTGTATAGGAGAGACTAGGGTTACACTTTTCTCTGAGCAAAGCTTGTGCTCCACCATGTCTTCCAGAGAAGTTTGCACCTCCATCAAATGCACAAGCAGCCATTTGTTTGGGGTCCAATTGGCAAGCATTTAACTCTTCTAAGATGTGGGTTGTCACAGAGGCAGCCAATCTGTCTTCTATAACTTGAACATCTAGAAATGCATGTACTCGCCTACCACTGACATCAAGATAATGTATACAATGACTTGATGATCATTTGCATTGGTGCATTCATCAGCCATGTATGTAAATTTTTTGAATGTTGTGAGAGAGTTCTTCACTTTTTCAACTGTTGAGTCTTTCACTGTTGCACCACATGCGTCTAGCCAGTCAGTTGAGTTTCTTGCAGAAAGATAGTGAGCATTTGCTGGCCTTGTTCGGAACCAGTGTTCAACTTTAGGATGAACAAGTGACAATGCACTTAAACTGGAGGCCAGTGTTGTAGTGTGTGGTATCTCTTGCTTAAATAGAAAGTATGATGCGACAGCCATGTTTGTTCGCGTTAAGAATGCTGGAGACACAACACAGTTAACAGCCTCATTAACACTCACCGGTGTTGTTTTTGGTCAGTGGAGACTCAGAGTTCAGAGGTGCTCTCACATGAGTTCACCTCTCGGGTGGGGGGCAAGAAGGCACCTTGCTAGTTCCTCTAGCTGCTCACTGTTCGCTCTGGCCACTGTTGTTCGTTGTGCCACCATTCACTCAATTGCTCTGTAGCCAATGGCCCTGTGCCATCACCATCTGCTGCCACCTGCCACTGACCTCTGTGAATTGGTCTCTTGAGGTTCCACCCAGCTCTCAGTGATTTCAGCTGAGCTCTCAGTGGGGGAACCTCTGTGGGCAGACTGGGCCGTCTCTTCCACAGAAACACTGTCCCACAGCCGGTCTAAGCACTTAAACCTGATTATCAGTGATTACAACTGTAGTTGTCACTTAACAGAACAAAAGACTATCTATGGAGCCTAATCAGCTCTGTCTTTAAACAGTGGAGAGGGGCAGGTCAAATAGTATTTGTGACTCAGGCAGACCAACAAGCAAAACACCTGTCCCCACACTCTCTCTTGATGCCCTCAATCAGCAGAGGCTTAAGTACAGTTCTACTGCCCTTTACTCATACAAGTATAAGAATAAAAACATTTCTTTATCCCCTGCAGTCAAGTGATTTGTAACCCAGCCAAAATCTATCACTTGGGCAACACAGCTCTGTTTGCTGGATACCTAGGTAGATTATGTGTGAATGTAAATACAATCTGGTCCTGAAGCCTTTTCCCCCCAACCCCCAGCTCATCACTAGCTGTCAGGGAGAGCTCATTTAGACTTTGCTTACAAATCATAATTTGAAATTATTAGGTTGGCCAACATCACCAAAATGAATGCACTGATGGTCATAAAAACAACAGCTGTATAAGGAAGCTAGTCTCTGTTCATACTTTTCAAATCTATTATACTTTTTCAGATACACGTATTTTATGATACACTTTATATGCTTTTAAAGTGTGTATTAATGTTTCAATTTCAATTCAAATTTCCAAACAATCACTACATTGGCAACACTGCATGTAACTAGTTCACAAAACTGGGGGGGGGGGTGTTGGGGAAATTCAGGGGGGGGTAAACACCACCATGGGGGGGGTGTAGGGAAATCCCTGGCAGTGTCCCTCTGCTGCTGGGCCAAGCAGGTGCCCTCGTGGAGCTGAGCATTTACCAGGAGATGGCATTGCACAGGGTCCCGCTTGCCAGTTGTCATAGCATCTTCCAGGCAAGCCTGGGGGCACGAGCAGGAGAAATCCTCAGTCAGGGTGGGGTTGTAAGCAGTGTTGTAATGATAATACTGGGGATTATGCCTGTTCTTTATAGTGTCTCTGTTTCCTTCTGTGCGCTGTCTTCTGATGTGCTTCAGTCATTTTAGCCTCCAGCCTGTGTCTCCCTTGGGCTTGTCTTCACTGGGGTGTTCCAGAGAAATCTTTCACTGTTGCCTAGAAACGGTGGAAGTGCTAACTGGCTACAGCTGACACTTTTACCACCCTGTTGTATGGTCCTGCTTTGAGCAGCATCAGACAGCACTGTGGTGGTAACACTAGCTCTCCCATGCTTGCTTGTACTGGTGGACCTGTGCTCAAGAGCGATGGTAGGGAAGCCTCCCTAAAATCCTCAGTACCAGTGTAGCCCAACAGAGCTGCAGCCAAGAAAAGTATTTTGTATCTGTTTATATAAATGTGTTAACTAATGCTTGTACTATACTTTAGATTGTTATTAAATAACATATATATATATATATAACTTAATAAAGTGAATACTATGAGCACACTTGAAAATTAATTCTGGTTCAAGCATTCACTAGTTTCAGCAATACTCTCTATAATTAAGTGGGAGGACCTCTTGAATGGGTGACCTCTCTAGAATTTGTATTTCCCTCTTTAAATGTAGGGAATGTTGCTGGAACCTGAGGTTCTCCAAAACTGGAATGAATTTCTTAAGTATGACTAAACTTTGAGCTGTGACTTTCATGGGCTGCAACTCATTTATTGTACTAATCTTTTTCTTCTTTTCCTGTCCATAGATAGGTAAAACTGGGAAACTAGAAACTATACTATCGGGAACTTTATCTTCTGTATTCACAGCTGATAAAAGGTGGATATACTTTTGTTTTAAAAAATCAGTGGGTATATCTGTGTACTGTCTGTTCCATTCCCGATTAAATGATTAACATGTAAAAAAGCTATAGTATGTTGACTATAACAGTCTAATAATTGGTACTTGTGATAACTGTATTGCTTGTACTGTGCAGTCTGCTGGAGACTGTAGCAGTACTTACTAGGTAACTTGCTCTCCTGAACTCTATATTAAAAGCATAGCTTTATGAGTAATGTATTGGTGCTAAACTTTGTTATACCAGTCAGCCAATATGGCTAGTTTATTGGCATCTGTAAATGCTTTTTTTTCTTTATGGTATAACTGGAGATACAGTAGAGTAAAGACAAGAACAGTACTTAATGAAATGTTTAGCACCCAGAATAAGTGTGACTAATACATGACTTTGTATAAAGTAGTAATGGATTGCTGCTTTGTTTATATTATGAAACAAAAGACATTTATTCTATGATACTGAGAAGTGTATTCAGTCAAGCCAAATCCTTCAAAATGCTGAGTGCTGTTCATGCTATGTTGAGTACCTTCAACTCCTACTGAAGTCATATAACCTTTTTGAAACCTGAGTTTCTTCAAGTGATTGTCCACATGGATTCCACTCTTGGTGTGCGTGTGCCCAGTGTGCATGAGATCTGATTCTTTTTGGCTAGCAACATCTGCTGGGGTTGCGCCTGCGCCCAAGATGTCTTGGTGCCCATCCTCACCATCTACCCAAGAACATAAAGGGCACAGCGGGCCCAACCATCATTTGGTTCCTTTTTGCCACGTATGGCAGTGGGAGAGAACCCATGTAGTGTCTGCTTACTCTGCGGGCTGTGCAATTTTTTGGTTAACATAGTATCTTTTTGTATTTACACTCACTGGCACATAAAAAGATAATAAATTATGGGATACCCCTGCTACTAGCAGCTAGGTTTCTATGTCGGAAACAAAGTCTTTGGGATTTAAAACTTTTGCAGGGTGGCTATCCCACTCAATGATGTGTATTCTAGATGCCTCTTTTGCTTTGGTGAGGGGTACGTTCCTGACAGATACTTGATCTGTTGCTGTTTCTACAAGAGGAAACAGAAGGAGAGAGGCAGGCCTGCCTTCAATTTTTTCTTCTGGAGTGCTTGACAAGAACCTCCTTAGAGTGTGAGGGTGAAAAAAGATTCCCACTAGGCCTGAACAGTTCTCTTTGGCTAATGCTTCTGTGAATTTTGAGGTATTGGGCTCACTCATCATTGAAAAGATTGAACCCTTCAGATTCTGAGACTGGGAGAGCAGCCAGTCCTCTTCCACCCAGTTGTCAGAAAGGGGTAGGAAAGAACATTTTTCCTGGAGAGCACAGATATAGGACACCCTCTCTGGTTCTGACTAAACAGAGACAGAAAGCTCACCAAGCTGTTGTTACTTGTGCGGTTCAGACAGACCAGATCTGGGCCACAAACAATCTTTTTAGCTGATGTCTTGGCACTGGCTGGTGTCCAGGTACCCACAGAACTTCCTGAAACTTGAGTCTTCACTTATCTTAGTACTGATCCCTTGGGGCTGATATCGATATGGACACATTTGGAATGGATAACCTTGGTGCCCTTGACTCTGTCTCCCCACAATGCAGACGTTTCTGGGACAGACTTTCTTAGTATCCAAGATGTCCTGTTTATTGATTATTTCATGATCACACAACTGGAGACATTTCTTCCTTGGTACCACTTACTAATACTGTCATAGTATTGGTGATGAGCTCTCCGGCTCAAGTTATGAGAGAATACAAGAGAACTATACAGCACTCTAGATGCTGTTTTGTTTTTGTTTGTTTTTTCCAGGAAGGTTTTTCCTCAATCTCCAGATGCACATTTTGAATGATCAAGTACTTCTATCAAAATATAACTATCCAAAGGGAGACAGGGTGTTACAATTCATAGAGAAGTGACCACAAAATGAAAGGAAAGGACTAAGATCTCTGGCATCTGAAAGGTCGTTAGTGTCCCAAACATTTGTGCAGGCTGCTTTAGACACCTCTGCTATGGCAGCATATGCAGTCGCCATTTTCATTGTGATGTGGGCTTCATGGTGCTCATTTTTGAGAATACTAAAGGGGGTCCAAATGACACTTGAGAACCTCCTGTTTGAAGATTTTGATTTAGTTAACATTGGAACTGATGAAGCGCTGAAGGATTTGAGACCTCCACTCATTGGATGTATACAAACCAGCCACCTGGAGGAGGCAGGACAGACCCACAAAGCTTTGCCAGACAGCGCCTCTGTACCTCTTGTTCCAATGACCTCTTAGATTTTAATAATTGAAGATGAGGCAGAGGTTCAAATGTAGGAGACATTCTGCCTCTTCTCCTCTGCAGCACACTTCATCTACCTTATGGCAGCAAGTTAGATGCCATTGTTGAGAGCCAATCAGAACCATTACCGGATGTGTACCCCTTTCCACCCCCCGTTTGGAAACCACCTCTTATTTTCAGGAGGGCTGAAACCAGCTGACTTCTGACCTGCAGGTCCTGGTAATCACAAACAAAAGGATATTCAGTACGATTCCAGGCACTTCCTACCCACACTTTCCTTTTCCCATCCCTTTTCAGGAGCTTTTTTCATGAAATAATGTTGAAACCAGAGGTAAAGTAAAGTCCTTTCTGCAATCCAGAGCAGTGGATGAAGAGTCCCTGGAATTCAGAGGTAAGAGGTTCTACTCCTGCTACTTCTTATTTTGAAAGAAGAAAGGGGCTGGCATTCTATTCTAAACTTCAGATGTCTCAACAAATTAATTGTTTCAGGCTTAAAATGTTGACTGGGGCTTCAGTTATTTCTCATGATTGGTTGGCTCCTGTTGGTCTTCAGGATTTGTATTTCCACCTGTTCATATGTCCAGCACACAGAAAGTACCTCAGACTTGAAGTAGGGGACTTTTGCTGCCAGTACAGGGTTATGCCTTTTGGTCTCTCCCTGGCACTGAGTATTCACAGTAGGTGCCGACTCCATGGGTGCTTGAGCACCCACAGGGAAAAAATGGTGGGTGCTGAGCACCCACTGGCAGCCCCCTCTCAGAACCTCCCCCCAGTGCTTTCTGCCCATTGATAGGCTGTGCCAAGCCAATCATTGCCTCCCCTCCTTCCTTGTGCCACCTGTCCGCTGCAGTCAGCTGTTCCGTGACGTGTGGGAGGCTCTGGAGGCAGGGTGGAGGAACAAGGACATGGTGCACTTGGGGGAGGAGATGGGGCTGGAAGAGGTGGGGTGGGGCCTTGGGAGAAGGGGTGGAGTGGGGGCGGGGCCTGGGGCAGAGCCGGGGGTCAAGCCCCCTCCCCCACTCCACCCCCCGGCACTTTGGAAAGTCGGCACCTGTGGTATTCACCAAGCATTTAGTGGTCATCAAAACCCATTTAACAAGACACAATATTCAGTTATACCTATACATTGATGACTGGCTGATCTGGTGAATATCTTCCGAAAAGGCAACATTCCATTTATGAAATCTGACAGCTCTGTACCACACTGGGGCTCAAGATCAGCTGAGAGAAATCTACACTTTTATTGACCCAAAGTATATCATTCATAGGTGCTGTGTTAGAGCTGAGGTCAACAGGAACGTATATACCATATATATACTATTCGACATTGGTGAGGCCTCATCTGGAGTACTGTGTCCAGTTTTGGGCCCCACACTTCAAGAAGGATGTGGATAAATTGGAGAGAGTCCAGCGAAGGGCAACAAAAATGATTAGGGGTCTGGAACACATGAGTTATGAGGAGAGGCTGAGGGAGCTGGGATTGTTTAGCCTCCAGAAGAGAAGAATGAGGGGGGATTTGATAGCTGCTTTCAACTACCTGAAAGGGGGTTCCAAAGAGGATGGCTCTAGACTGTTCTCAATGGTATCAGATGACAGAACGAGGAGTAATGGTCTCAAGCTGCAGTGGGGGAGGTTTAGATTGGATATTAGGAAAAACTTTTTCACTAAGAGGGTGGTGAAACACTGGAATGCGTTACCTAGGGAGGTGGTAGAATCTCCTTCCTTAGAGGTTTTTAAGGTCAGGCTTGACAAAGCCCTGGCTGGGATGATTTAACTGGGAATTGGTCCTGCTTCAAGCAGGGGGTTGGACTAGATGACCTTCTGGGGTCCCTTCCAACCCTTATATTCTATGATTCTATGATACCATGGGGGAGGGGTCCACATAGTAGTTGGATAGTAAGTCTCTTAAATGATCTGCAAGCTCAACTTGAGATGTCTATAAGAGCATGTCTCAGATTTGTAGGTCGTGTGTTCTTCTGCAGCAATGTTGCACAGCATTGCAGACTTCTACACTTCACCCATACTCTATACAAAGTGGTTGCAGTAACTCCTCGCTTAATGTTGTCCTGGTTAATGTTGTTACGTCGTTGATCAATTAGAAAACGTGGTTGTTTAAAGTTGCGCAATGCTCCCTGATAGCATTGTTTGGTAGCCGTCTGCTTTGTCTACTGCTTGCAGAAAGAGCAGCCTGTTGGAGCTAGGAACCAGGGTGGATTGGCAGCCCCCCTAAGTTCCCTGTGTGGAAGTCGCCCAGCAGGCTATCAATTGCCGGGCAGTTCAGCTGTCCCTTCCCCCACTGCTGTTTGCTGCTTCTGCCCTCTGCCTTGGAGCTGCTCCTAGTAGCCTTCTGCTTGCTGTTCAGGGGGTGGGGGAAAGAGAGTTGCTAATGTCAGGGTGTCCTCCCCCTGCTCCTGTCCACTGCTTCTGTACCTTATCTCCACAGAGTGGGGGAGTGGGGGTGGGGCAGGACAGGGCTCAGGATGGAGGGAGCTTGCTGGCAGCAGCTGCTGTCTCAACTTGCTGATCTACTTAAAAAGACAGTGTACTTGGAGTGGGGTCAGCGAACTTAAAGGGGAAATACGCGTGTCTCTTCCCCTCTCTCTGACACACACACACATACAGAGTGTGTGTGTCTGTCTCTCTCACACATGCACCCCCCCCCACCCCATGGGTTCATTTTCACATTCAGTTTCTACAGGGAATGTTTTCAGCCACTGCCATGCTGTCTCTCCTCCCTCCATTCATGCTGCCTTGTAGAGTGTGAGGCTACGTTAACAACAATGTGTTAACCATTGAGGGCTCAGCTGAGTGCAAGTTCATCATTTAGCAGTAAGGCATTCCCTGGGAAATATCCCACCCTCTGAATCCACCACCTCAACCAAGCTTCACAATCATCATTGCTGTGTACAGTATTAAATTGTTTGTTTAAAACTTAACAAAATTACCTGGAATCTAACTACCCCTATTTACATTAATTGTTATGGGGAAATTGGATTAGCTTAACATCGTTTCGCTTAAAGTAGCATTTTCCAGGAACATAACTACAATGTTAAGTGAGGAGTTACTGTATCTGCCAAGCAAATACCATGTGGACATGAAAGTGAAGGTCCCGTGAAAATCCTCTGTTAGATTGTTGCCCATGTGAAAGTGTTCTTTCACCTGAGTACCTCTTTGCTGCACCACATCCTACCAAAATGTTGGTAAAGATCAGCTCCCCATTTAAGAGAAGAAGCACTTTTTACCATTTTGCAACACAAGGTCTGACTCTTCCCTCCCCACCCACGTTCAACTTCATGTAAATAGCTGAGCCCTATGTCATCTAGCATGCATGGCATTCCTCCCCTTGTTGCAAAGATCCGTATCCAAGTGATGGCAGAAAACATCACAGCTATGCATTATGTCAACAGAAAGAGGAACATAGTCATCACTGCTCTGCTGAGAAGCCGTTTGTCTCTAGGATTGGTGCAGTCGTCAGATCACACTAGTCACTATGTGTCTTCCAGGGTTTTAAAATTCCCTCCCATCAAGTTGACAGGCATGAGTGGACTCTGAAGGACTCCATCTTGAAGATCCTTATTTTCCACAGATGAGGATAATAAGTGTCCTGTGTTTAGCTTCAGAGAGGGGTTTGGGCCTAGGCACCCTGTCAGATGCTGTCCTCTTTTGTGCAGACTGGGGTTCATGTGCCTACGTGCCGATCCTGTTAGTACCAAGGGCATAGGCAGCTGGTGACCCAGCCGTTGGGTGAGGCTAGCCCCTGGCCCCTCCCCTTCTGCCCAAGGTTCCTCCCCCTTTCTTTAGCTGCCCCCCCCCCCACCAGGAGCCCAGTGCATCCCCACTGTGGCCCCCAGCCCTGGTGAGCCGTGTGACACAGTCCAAGCGCCGGGAAGGCAGTGTGGCCCCAGTGCCAGCCCCCCGAATCCCTGCAGCAGGCCAGCCAGCTCCAGCCCCAACCGGCCAGAGCAGAGCACCAGGAACTGCAGGAGAGGACCTGGGAATGGAGTGTGGGTAGGGCCACACCAGGCTGTTTGGGGAGGCACAGCCTATGATACCCGCCACCCATGACCAAGGGCTCTCAGTCAAGATTCAGCCTTCATGGTCATGGTAGTCCCAACCGGGTCCAGGCAGTTCTGGTACTCAGATCTAGTGAAGCTATCAGCTTTGTTTCCAACATGTTTTTACCAGATGTGACTTAACAAAATGAAGGTCAGATCTTACACCTGGATCAAGCATCATTCAGCCAGCATCCATGCTGTCAGATGTGTTAACTGCCACTGGAAGAAGCTGTTCAGCTGAGATCAAGAACATATTGATACATAATCTAATACAAATTTTTCTGGAAACTTATAGAGCAAAATAGAAGAGACTTTCTATTGGGGTATAATGTCACCTGTCTCCCTTGGAAAAACCCGTTTCTGCTGTTTTGGACTATTTGCTAACTCTAAAACATTCAGGACTGTCCTTCAGCTCCCTAAGAATACACTTACCAGCAATATCTGTGCATAACTCTCCAATTGAGGGTCCGGTCATACCTTATTTTTCTACTGTATAGTTGCTAAATTCCTCAAAGGTCTCATTTCTGTTTTCTCTTATTCAGGGAATTCCCTTTCTTCCTCATATCTCAACATGGTGTTAGCTGGCTTAATAAGACCCCCTTCTGAGCTCTTTTTACCACTTGTCTATGAAGACTGCCTTTTTTAGTAGCTATAACATCTGCTCACAGGGTAGGGGAAATTCAAGCCCTTATGCCTGGTTGACCTTACATGCTGTTCCATAAAGAGATGGTGACTGATAGGCCTCACACCAAGTTGCTGGCTATGATGTTTTTTTCTTCAGATTTTCACTTAAATCAATGGATCACCCTCAGTTTTCCTTCCTAAGTCCCACTCAATCTCTGGCAAAACTAAGCTTCACACACTTGAGTAAGAGCATGATCTTTCCATTTACAGGAAGAAAAAAAAATTAGAAACATCTAAGCAGAGAGGGTGACACGTCAGGCAATATCCTCAGGGGTTATCAAAATGAGTCTCCAGATGTGTAAGAATGTGTTATGAATTAGGCTATGTCTATGCTACGAAATTAGGTCGACTTTATAGAAGTCGAATTTTTAGAAATTGATTTTATACAGTCAATTGTGTATGTCCCCACTTAAGACCATTAAGTCGGCGGAGTGCATCTACAGTACCAAGGCTAGCGTCGACTTGACGAGCGTTGCACTATGGGTAGTTATCTGGGTTGAGATCCCAATGACTGATGGGGCAAAAAACATTGTCGCAGGTGGTTCTGGGTACATGTCATCAGGCCCCCTCCTCCCTCCCTCCCTTCCTCTGTGAAAGCAACGGCAGACCTTTTCGCGCCTTTTTTCCTGGGTTACCCGTGCAGACGCCATACCACGGCAAGCATGGAGCCCGCTCAGCTCACCATCACCGTATGACTCCTGGGTGCTGGCAGGCGCGGGACTGCATTGCTACACAGCAGCAGCTCATTGCCTTGTGCTAGCAGATGGTGCATTATGACTGGTAGCCGTCCTCGTCGTCTCCTGGATGCTCTTGGCTGGCCAGAACCAGCAAAAGCAGGCGAGTAGGCGACAGCAGCATGGTGAGGAGAGTGATGAAGACATGGACACAGACTTCTCTCAAAGTATGGGCCCCTGCAATGTGGACATCATGGTGGTAACGGGGCAGGTTCATGCTATGGAATGCCGATTCTGGGCCCGGGAAACAAGCACAGACTGGTGCAACTGCATAGTGTTGCAAGTCTGGGACAATTCCCAATGGCTGTGAAACTTTCGCATGCGCAAGGGCACTTTCATGGAACTTTGTGACTTGCTTTCCCCTGCCCTGAAGTGCCAGAATACCAAGATGAGAGCAGCCCTCACAGTTCACGAGCGAGTGGCGATAGCCCTGTGGAAGCTTGCAAAGCTAGACAGCTATCTGTCAGTCGGGAATCAATTTGGAGTGGGCAAATCTACTGTGGGGGCTGCTGTGATCCACGTAGCCAACGCAATCGCTGACCTGCTGCTACTAAGGGTAGTGACTCTGGGAAATGTGCAGCTCATAGTGGATGGCTTTTAGTGTGATTCCCTGACTGTGGTGGGGCGATAGACAGAACCCATATCCCTATCGTGGCACCGGAGCACCAAGGCAGCCAGTACATAAACCGCAAGGGGTACTTTTCAATGGTGCTGCACGCACTGGTGGATCACAAGAGACGTTTCACCAACATCAGCGTGGGATGGCCGGGAAAGGTACATGACACTTGCATCTTCAGGAACTCTGGTCTGTTTCAACAGCTGCAGCAAGGGACTTTCTTCCCAGACCAGAAAATAACTGTTGGGTATGTTGAAATGCCTATAGTTTATCCTTGGGGATCCAGCCTACCCCTTAATGCCCTGGCTCATGAAGCCATACACAGGCACCCTGGACAGTAGTCAGGAGCTGCTCAACTATAGGCTGAGCAAGTGCAGAATGGTGGTAGAATATGTATTTGGACGTTTAAAAGCGTGCTGGTGCAGTTTACTGACTCGCTTAGACCTCAGCGAAACCAATATTCCCATTGTTATTACTGCTTGCTGTGCGTTCCACGCTATCTGTGAGAGTAAGGGAGAGATGTTTGTGGCGGGGTGGGAGGTTGAGGCAAATCGCCTGGCCGCTGATTACTCGGAGCCAGACGCCAGAGCGGTTGAAGAGCACAGCAGGAAGTGCTGCGCATCAGAGAAGCTTTGAAAATCAGTTTAATGACTGGCCAGGCTACGGTGTGAAAGTTCTGTTTGTTTCTCCTTGATGAAACCCCCCGCCCCTTGGTTCACTCTACTTTTCTATAAGATAACCACCCTCCTCTCCCCCCTTCGATCACCGCTTGCAGAGGCAATAAAGTCATTGTTGCTTCAAATTCATGCATTTTTTATTAATTCATCACACAAATAGGGGGATAACTGCCAAGGTAGCCCGGGAGGGGTGAGGGAGGAGGGAAGGACAAGGCCATGCTGCACTTTAAAACTTATTGAATGCCAGCCTTCTGTTGCTTAGGCAGTCCTCTGGGGTGGAGTGGCTGGGTGCTTGGAGGCCCCCACACCGTGTTCTTGGGCGTCTGAGTGAGGAGGCTATGGAACTTGGGGAGGAAGGCGGTTGGTTACACAGGGGCTGTAGTGGTGGTCTGTGTTCATGCTGCCTTTCCTGCGCCTCAACCATATGCTGGAGCATATCTGTTTGATCCTCCAGTAGCTTCAGCATTGACTCTTGCCTTCTGTCAGCAAGCTGATGCCACCTACCATCTTCAGCCCGCCACTTATTATCTTCAACACGCCACCTGTTCTCGCATTCATATTGTGCATTCCTGGCCTCTAACATTGTCTGCCTCCACGCATTCTGCTGGGCTCTTTCAGTGTGGGAGGACTGCATGAGCTCAGAGAACATTTCATCGCGAGTGCTTTTTTTTCACCTTCTAATCTTCACTACCTTCTGGGAAGGAGATGATAGTGTGAGCGTTGAAACATTTGCAGCTGCGGGAGGGAAAAAAAGGGAGAGTAGTCGTTTAAAAAGACACATTTTAGAGAACAATGGGTAGACTCTTTCAGGGTGAACCTTGCTGTTAACATTACATAGCACATGTGTATTCGGTACAAGGTCGCATTTTGCGTCTTGAGGGGCTACCGGTTTAGTGTGAGAGATCACACAGGCAGGGCCGGTGAGCAGTAGAATTCGGGTTGCAGGCAGCCATGGTAAGCCACAGTCTTTTGGCTTCTTTAACCTTCATAACATGTGGGAATGGTTTCAAACAGCAGCACCAGCATTTCCCATACCAAACAGTCGTTGGGTTGGCCATTTAAAATTGGTTGGCAATTTAAAAGGAGGGGCTGCAGTTTTCGGGTTAACGTGCAGCACAAACCCAACTATACCACCCCCACCCACCCAATTCTCTGGGATGATCACTTCACTCCTCCCCCCACCGTGTGGCTAACAGCGGGGAAGATTTCTTTTCAGCCACAGGCAAACAGCCCAGCAGGAACAGCACCTCTGAATGTCCCCTGAATAAAATTATCATTCACGGTCACCTGGTTGAAATAGGGTATCACTCTCCTGAGGATAACACAGAGAGATAAAGAACGGATGTTGCTTGAATGCCAGCAAACACTGGGACCATACGCTGCCAGGCTTTGTCATGCAATGATACCAGATTACTTGCTATTAGCATGGCGTGGTAAAGTGTCCTACCATGGAGAACAGAATAAGGCTGCTCTCCCCAGAAACCTTCTGCAAAGGCTTTTAGAGTACCTCCAGGAGAGCTTCATGGAGATGTCCCTGGAGGATTTCCGCTCCATCCCCAGGCACGTTAACAGACTTTTCCAGTACCTGTACTGGCCGCAAATTAATCATTAAATATGCTTGCTTTTAAATCGTGTCTTATATTTACAAAGGTACACTCACCAGAGGTCCCTTCTCCGCCTGGTGGGTCTGGGAGCTCGCCTTGGGTGGGTTTGGAGGGTACTGGCTCCAGGTCCAGGGTGAGAAACAGTTCCTGGCTCTCGGGGAAAACGGTTTCTCTGCTTGCTTGCTGTGCCCTATCTTCAACCTCCTCCTCGTCATCATCTTCCTCATCCCCAATATGCACAACCCTGTTGCGTGATAATTCATTGATGGAGTCAAAGCACAGGGGTGGGGTAGTGGTGGCTGTACCCCCTAGAATGGCATGCAGCTCATCATAGAAGCGACATGTCTGGGTCTCTGACCCTGAGCGGCCGTTTGCCTCTCTGGTGTTTTTTGGTAGGCTTGCCTGAGCTCCTTAAGTTTCACGCGGCACTGCTGCAGATCCCTGTTATAGCCTCTGTCCTTCATGCCCTTGGAGATTTTTTTCAAATGTTTGGGCATTTCGTCTTTTGGAACAAAGTTCTGATAGCACGAATTCGTCTCCCCATACAGTGATCAGATCTCGTACCTCCCATTGGGTCCATGCTGGAGCTCTTTTGCAATTCTGGGACTGCATCATGGTCACCTCTGCTGATGAGATCTGCACTCACCTGCAGCTTGCCACTCTGGCCAAACAGGAAATGAGATTCAAAAGTTCGTGGGCCTTTTCCTGTCTACTTGGCCAGTGCATCTGAGTTGAGAGCACTGTCCAGAGCGATCGCAATGGAGAACTCTGGGATAGCTCCCGGAGGCCAATGCCCTCAAATTGTGACCACACTACCCCAAGTTCTACCCGGCGAGGTCGATTTCAGAGCTAATCCCCTTGTCGGGGGAGGAGTACAGAAATCGACTTAAAGGGCTCTTAAAATTGAAGTAAATGGCTTCGTCGTATGGATGGGTGCAGGATTAAATCTATCTAATGCTGCTAAATTCGACCTAAACTCGTAGTGTAGACCAGGGCTTAGACAGGTCCGATCTACCTAGCCACATTAGAACACATTCCACTAAAGCTAGGCAGCCTCTCTGCCTGTTTGAAGACTGACCCCTGTTTCTGAAATCTGTAGGGCATCCACATGGAGCTCTAGCCACACCTCTTTAATAGAGGCTTCCAGATTGGCTGCCTGGTTTGGTAGAGGTGTCCCAAAATCATTATTTAAATAGGACTCTTAGACCCCCACATCCAAGCTGCTTGTTAGGCTGTGTCTACACTGCAGCCTCTGTTGGCATAATTTACATGTCTTGGGGGTGTGAATAACCTCCCCACCCCCCCGAGTGACATAAGTTACATCAACATAAGTGCTTGTGTTCTCCCGCTGACTTAGCTTCTGCTGTTCACGGAGGTGGGATTTTTTTATGCTGACGGGAGAGCTCTCTCTCCTGTTGGCATATAGTGTCTTCACCAGATGCAGTACAGTGTAGACATGGCCTTAGTCACAAGGAGTGGAATCCATGATGATGATCATTCAAACAATAGTTACTTACAGAAACTGCGGTTCTTTGAAATATGTTGTCCACATGGATTCCATGACCTGCCCTGCTTCCTTACTTCTTCGGTCTTACAGGGGTGTGCAAGGATGCTCCAATATGTCTATACAGCAATATAAGTCTTGGGTTAGTGGTTCCCAAGTCAGCAGACCCATATCAGGGAACTGTGGGCTTGATTGTCTACAGTGCCTTTTAACCCTAGGTTAAGGATTTTCTGACTTGTGCTTGAGCCTAGGGCTCTGTTACCCACGGTGCAATGCACAGAGCTGAGTCAAAGTAACCCTATCCCAGAGTGCCTTGTGTTCTTTTCCTCTCCCTCTCCTGCCTCGTGTCAACACTCTAGCCTTATGAATGAGTTGCACTGCGGGAAAATTCTACTGCCCACCCAGTTTCCTAAGAAAAATATCAAACGATAATACTGCTGGACACCATCTTGGGGAACTACAGAGGTGGCTTTTGTCTAGGAATATATGCCTCAGTGTTCATGGTACAAGGAGACTTATATTGGTGAAACAAATTCATTCCCCCCCAGTAAACTTGAAAATACTTAATTCAGACAAATATAAATATAAGATAGTCCTCAAAGGTGTTATAGGAAGTTAGATAATAGGACTAAGAATAGCTGTTGGACTAGAGAAATTAACTGAAAAGCCGCCCCTCTCTCTCTATTAAAGTGATTGAATAGGGCTTCTTGTGAGCTTAGCTGACTTTCCTGGTGCATGTACAGGAATAAGGGATACCTGGGAGGCTATAGGGAAGCTTTAAGGCTGGCTCCCACTCACTGCCCCACAGTGCACGCTGCCTGGCTGTCTCTGCACATGCAGCCCAAGGAAGGGTGGGCAGAAAGCAGAGCAAGAAGAAGCGGTTGCCCTGTAGGGCTCAGCACAGCTGGGAGAGGAATGGCTCCCAGCTGCCAGGATGTTGGGGGTCGCTTTCTAGCTGTTGCTTTGCTCTCTGCTCTGGGCAAGCTCAGCGCTGCAGTGAAGAGGAGCTGGAGCCAATGCCGTAGGAGGCTCCAGGGAGGTTTTGGGGCTAGCTCCCACTCACCGCTCAGACAGTGGGCTACCTGGGCGCTCCTGCACACGCAGCCATAGGGAGGTTAGAGGGAGCCAGTGAGCAGAGCGGGGACCAGAGGAGTGCCCCTGCAGGGAGGAGGAGAAGCTGGGGTATTGGGGGTCATCTTCCTCCAGCCATGCTGATCTGGGAGCTCTGTTGCTCCCCCTACCTGCAGGGCAGTTACTTAATCCCTGCTCCACTTTCTGCCCCTTCCCCAGGGCTGTATGTGCAGGGGCACCCAAGCAGCGTGCACTAAAATTTGGCTGTGCTCTTGTGACCAGAAAGTAGCTCTCTTTGCAAAAAGCTTCTTCTGATCAGTCTCAGCTGAAAACCCTGCAGGCTCTCTGATTGTCTGCTAAACACTGATCTGCAAGCATGCTATGAGCTGCTCCTATTTGCAAAGGGGATGTGTGGCTTCCCATTGATTGCTGTGTAGACATATCCTTATCATGCAGGTTTGGTCCCTATGGAAACTGTCAGCTAAAATAGATCTTGGGTGTGTGTGAGCCACAGCTGCACAAGCCCAGTGCCCATAGGGACCACTCCTGCTTCCTGAGTGTCCTTGCACACCCCTATCCCAGGATGTGAAGGTTGGAGCAGGCCCAGCCATCTCTCAATTCCTTCACCAATACAGAATTTCACAGGATTAGGACTCTGTAGAAGCAAGGAATGAGGGCAGATCTTGGAATCCATGTGGACAACCTATTTCAAAGAACCATGGTTATTATAAGGTAATTTTGTCTGCATTTATTTATTTATAAAAGTAACTTGTATTTTTTAAAATAATAAATAACATTTTGACTTTCACATTGGATAAAGTTGAATATGTGTCAAAGTTAAGCACATGTATTCATTTTTACAGGTTTGTAGCCTAGATCAGAAATTTTAAGTATTTCTATTAAAAACCATAAAAATGAAGAGAAACAGTTTAATGAAACTGAAAACTGATTTTTAACTTAATTTTAATACAGATTTTTCTTTTTTTTGCAGAGACAGTGGGATTCTGATTTCTCAAATCTTATTGTGCTGACAAAGCAACAGGGAAAGAATGCCAAGTTCCAAAAGTAACTTCTTGTTGTCAAGTGACCTTTCAAATTTCCAGGAAATGGCAATATCAAATGAGAGAGAGCCTACTGAAAAGAGTACAGCAAGTCTGATTGAGAACAATGGCTATCAAGACTCTGTATACATAAATGCAGCTAAAATTTTTCAAGGCATTCGTAATGAAAAGCCTCAGGATAAAATATTGGTAAGGTATGGTAATGAACTAGTGCCATCCCTACCAGATTTTAAAGATGAATGTTCCCAGCGCTCATCCTATGAACTGGCGTTTAGTGCTCTGAAATGTAAGTCGAAACTCTTTCCCCATATCACTAGCAGAAATGATGCAGTGCAGAAAATATACAAAAACTATATGATGTATTTAGGTCATGTATATCGGTATAATCACTTTTATTGATGGGCAGGAAGGATGGTTCCATAGTTAGGCTGCTAACCTATGAATCTGGGATTACTTTACTTGGAGATTAGTTTTAAATTAACTAGAAACCCAGGACTGTTGAAATTGATGGCTGGTTGTAGACAATGTATTGGGAAGCAAGGTGGGGCTGTAGTCTTTATATGAGACAGCCAATGTGTATATTTGATCAGCCATATCCAAATGCTTTGGCAGAAACCCTTTTTGTCTGTTAAAGTCTGTTTGTGAATACTGTACAAATTCTTGTTAGAAAGCAAGATAATGCAAAACAAAGTACTTAGTTTTCATTATTTAAGTTTTTGGTGCTGTTTCCTGTAAAGGAAAGTGTGAATTCTGTCCATTTCAGTAACAAATAAATAAATAAATACATTTTACTCCCCCTACAAACCAAACATGCTAAATTGACCATTATTAACTGAATCAATCATCCAAATTAAGAACCTGATTCTTCCCCTCCCCTGTGTTATTTCTGCATGGGAACAGGGACACTGATTTTGAACTGAGAAGTTGATTTATGGGTTCTTCCATGTGGTAGGAAGGGTCGGGATTTGGCTCATGGGGAGTTGTATGAGATTTGACCTTCAAAATATGGGGAGCTGGGATGAATGGGGGGACTGAGTGGAGGCCAGGACCACAGATTGTCTTTGTCTCCACACTGCCTTCTGTCATACCTAGCCCTGTAAGAATATAGCTGGCTACTATATGCCAAACCTTATCAAACAGTGGTAGGATACATTCCTTATGCCAGGGTCATATCCGGTTGATTGGCTAGCGCTATGAAGACCCGCTCTAGACTAGTGCCAGATTACCTGTAGACCACCAGCAAGACTCAGGGAGGGGCACCTGACTGAGCAATTGCTACTGCTCCTTGCTCAGCATCTCTCTAACTTTGCTACTTTATGCTCATAGATGTGCAAGGTAACAAGTCTCTCTTCTTCCCCTCCCCCACCCCAAACAGACAATAGCTTAAAGAAACTATCAGTTTGAGATACACTACATCAAATTAATCTGAATTAAAAAATAGAGGCTGAAAAATAGACCTGTGAATGTTTTGTTAGAGGAATCCTCCAAAACCACCCTGTAAGTAAGAGGGGAAATAAAATAAAATGGACAGTCTATTAAACATAAGAATAAATTAAAGCTGCATCCTCACCAAAGTGGAGTTCAAGTATTCGTATTGTTTGGCCACTTGTAAATAGTGTCAACTAGTTTTGTTCAGTGTTTGTAGGCTTGTAGCAGTATCTTCTCAGTTTATAGCTGACACTTTTGCTGCGTCCTTTAGTTGTACTTTCACATGTAATTTCACTCCTTTTTTGTGACTGAAAAAACAAAAATGCAGAAGTCCCAGATAACTAGACTACAAGAAAAAGAGAAACCTTTCCAAAAGAAAACAGAGTAGAAAAGAGGAAAAAAATTAACAATGGCTGAACTGGCAAACATGGCATTTCTCTTTAGAGGCTGAACAAATGACATGATAGCTTGTTTCTCTCACCAACAGAAGTTGGTCCAGTAAAAGATACTACTTACCCACCTTGTCATGCTAGTCCACTGTCCTTGCAATGGCCAAACATAGGTGTTTCAAAGAGTTATGTTTTGTGTCTGTACTTACTCCAAAAATAGTGAGACCCATGGGGGAGAGATCCTGGGCACTGGCATCTTCTGTGGGATTTTAACTGTAGATGGTGACGGGCTCAGCACTTTGCAGGATTTGGTTCAGTATGACTGCATCACAAAAGTGAGTCAGTATAAAAAATGAGAAACCATTTAGTATCCATGGGAACTACCTAAAATATGTGGTGAGATCAGGTTTCTGTGGATCAAATAGAAAAGGGTAATTGTTCCTGACCAAATGCTAATAAGAAACTTTCACTGGGTAAAATTCAGAGGATACAGTAGCTCAACAATAGAAATGTGAGGAGAAGAAACAGAAGTGCATTCCTTCTCCCTGCTGCTACTGTGACCTTTTAATCTGAAATATGTAGCATAGGCATCTTTCATCCAGCTCTCAATCTAAAAGAAGGCTAAGAAACTGTTACTCTCTATTCTTGGTGATGCAGTGTTGCTTCTAATGTAGGAACAAAAATAATTCTTAGTGGTGAGGGGAACAGAGTGCCAGAAAACGCAATTAACACAAACTATAGTAGAGAACATCTTAAGGCTGTCTTCTGGCAACCTTCTTCTCAAAAATCTTGTGCACTACATGTGAAATTAACTTAAGCACACTCAAGATAGGAACAAACAATTACTAACAATGGAAATTGCTTGTTGGAAAATTCAGAAAACTGAATTATTCTTCACTGCCTTATGTATAACCAGGGGTTAAATTGTGAGTTGAATTGCATGGGTGTTAATGGAATGAGCATGGTAGAAAAGAGGGGTAAGGGAAGTTTATCCCCTTGGATTTGGCCGGCCTGCCATCCATCCAGAAGAGGCGGAGCCAATACCTCTTCTCTTCCAATCTGGTTAGCAGAGCTTGGCTGGTCCAGACAAGCAATGCCCTTTAAAAGGATGGAGCTGAAGTCATTTGTGCATGTGCTATAGCAGTGCTTTCAGCGGTTGTTGTGCCTGCGTTGGGCACAATACTTCTGCCCAAACTAGCATGCAAAACAAAGATAGTGTGCTGTTTTCTGTAATGAGTAGATGTCTACTGATCCTAAACTGTGAGTCAGAGGTCTGAACTGCAGTGATTTCAGTGAAGGAGACTAGCAAACAGATTAAGTCATGGAAGGAAGAGACTTTGCCACCAATCTTTCACTGAAGCAGCAAATAATAACAAATAGCAAATCTGACACCAGATGCCTTTGGCCATGAAGAAGAAGCCAAACAAAAGCAAAAGGATTGATGACTTACTTACTGAAAAAAGAAAAGGAGTACTTGTGGCACCTTAGAGACTAACCAATTTATTTGAGCATAAGCTTTCGTGAGCTACAGCTCACTTTATCGGATGCATACTGTGGAAAATACAGAAGATGTTCTTATACATACAAACTGGGGGGGAGGGAGGAAAAAACAAGGGGAAATAGGTTACCTTGCATAATGATTGAGCCACTCCCAGTCTCTATTCAAGCTTAAGTTAATTGTATCCAATTTGCAAATGAATTCCAATTCAACAGTCTCTCGCTGGAGTCTGGTTTTGAAGTTTTTCTGTTGTAATATCGCAACTTTCATGTCTGTAATCGCGTGACCAGAGAGATTGAAGTGTTCTCTGACTGGGTTTATGAATGTTATAATTCTTGACATCTGATTTGTGTCCATTTATTCTTTTACGTAGAGACTGTCCAGTTTGTCCAATGTACATGGCAGAGGGGCATTGCTGGCACATGATGGCATATATCACATTGGTAGATGCGCAGGTGAACGAGCCTCTGATAGTGTGGCTGATGTTATTAGGCCCTGTGATGGTGTCCCCTGAATAGATATGTGGGCACAGTTGGCAATGGGCTTTTTTGCAAGGATAGTAGGTTCCTGGGTTAGTGGTTCTATTGTGTGGTATGTGGTTGCTGGTGAGTATTCGCTTCAGGTTGGGGAACTGTCTGTAGGCAAGGACTGGCCTGTCTCCTAAGATTTGTGAGAGTGTTGGGTCATCCTTCAGGATAGGTTGTAGATCCTTAGTAATGCGTTGGAGGGGTTTTAGTTGGGGGCTAAAGATGACGGCTAGTGGCGTTCTGTTATTTTCTTTGTTAGGCCTGTCCTGTAGTAGGTGACTTCTGGGAACTCTTCTGGCTCTATCAATCTGTTTCTTCACTTCCGCAGGTGGGTATTGTAGTTGTAAGAATGCTTGATAGAGATCTTGTAAGTGTTTGTCTGAGGGGTTGGAGGAAATGCGGTTGTATCGCAGAGCTTGGCTGTAGACAATGGATCGTGTGGTGTGGTCAGGGTGAAAGCTGGAGGCATGTAGGTAGGAATAGCGGTCAGTAGGTTTTCAGTATAGGGTGGTGTTTATGTGACCATTGTTTATTAGCACTGTAATGTCCAGGAAGTGGATCTCTTGTGTGGACTGGTCCAGGCTGAGGTTGATGGTGGGATGGAAATTGTTGAAATCATGGTGGAATTCCTCAAGGGCTTCTTTTCCATGGGTCCAGATGATGAAGATGTCATCAATATAGCTCAAGTAGAGTAGGGGCGTTAGGGGACGAGAGCTGAGGAAGCGTTGTTCTAAGTCAGCCATAAAAATGTTGGTATACTGTGGGGCCATGCGGGTACCCATAGCAGTGCCGCTGATTTGAAGGTATACATTGTACCCAAATGTAAAATAGTTATGGGTAAGGACAAAGTCACAAAGTTCAGCCACCAAGTTAAGTCAAGTTAGCCGTGACATTATCGGGGATAGTGTTCTTGACGGCTTGTAGTCCATCTTTGTGTGGAATGTTGGTGTAGAGGGCTTCAACATCCATAGTGGCCAGGATGGTGTTATCAGGAAGATCCCCGATGGATTGTAGTTTCCTCAGGAAGTCAGTGGTGTCTCGAAGGTAGCTGGGAGTGCTGGTAGCGTAGGACCTGAGGAGGGAGTCTACATAGCCAGACAATCCTGCTGTCAGGGTGCCAATGCCTGAGATGATGGGGCGCCCAGGATTTCCAGGTTTATGGATCTTGGGTAGTAGATAGAATATCCCAGGTTGAGGTTCCAGGGGTGTGTCTGTGCGGATTTGATCTTGTGCTTTTTCAGGGAGTTTCTTGAGCAAATGCTGTAGTTTCTTTTGGTAACTCTCAGTGGGATCAGAGGGTAATGGCTTGTAGAAAGTGGTGTTGGAGAGCTGCCGAGCAGCCTCTTGTTCATATTCCGACCTATTCATGATGACAACAGCACCTCCTTTGTCAGCCTTTTTGATTATGATGTCAGAGTTGTTTCTGAGGCTGTGGATGGCATTGTGTTCTGCATGGCTGAGGTTGTGGGGCAAGTGATGCTGCTTTTCCACAATTTCAGCCCGTGCACGTCGGCGGAAGCACTCTATGTAGAAGTCCAGTCTGCTGTCTCAACCTTCAGGAGGAGTCCACCTAGAATCTATTTCCCCTTTCCCCCCCCCCATTCCTCAGACGTTCTTGTTAAACCCTGGATTTGTGCTTTAAATGGCCCACCTTGATTATCATACACATTGTAAGGAGAGTGATCACTTTAGATAAGCTATTACCAGCAGGAGAGTGGGCTGAGGGGAGAGAAAACCTTTTGTAGTGGTAAACACCCATTTTTTCATGGTTTGTATGTAAAAGAACATCTTCTGTATTTTCCACAGTATGCATCCGATGAAGTGAGTTGTAGCTCACAAAAGCTTACGCTCAAATAAATTGGTTAGTCTCTAAGGTGCCACAAGTACTCCTTTTCTTTTTGCGAATACAGACTAACACGGCTGTTACTCTGAAATCTGTCATTACTTACTGAAGTGCTTAATATTTAAATCACAAAACAGATGAATTCAAGACGTACCTGCCATGGCGCGTGGCCCGGGACCCCCACTGGTATGGGTGGGGGCAGTTTGGAGGAGGCGGCGGTGGCAGGGCCCAGGGCAGGGCTCTGCTGCTTCCGCCACAGGTGCCAGCTGCTGCAGCTCCCATTCGCTGGGAACCACAGCCAATGGGAGCTGCGGGGGCAGGGCCTGTTGGCACTGGCAGCGCAGAGACCCCTCTGCCACCTAGGATCTGCAGGAGGGCCATGCCAGTGGGAGTCAGGAGCCCCCCACCCCGAGGTAAGCATCCCCTGCAGCCCCCAACCCCCTGTCCCTAGTCCAGAGCCCCCTCCCGCACACCCAAATTGCTGCTGCTGGCCCAAGGCCTGGCTGGCTCAGGCAGCCCCTGACCCAGTACCAGCCACTGCAAAAGTCATGGAGGTCAGGGAAAGTCACGGAATCTGTGACAGACTCACAGCATTATCTGTGAGATGAGAAAATAATTAATTACACCTCCTCTTGTCCCTTTGCTACTGAAACCAAGGGAAGGGTATTCATCAAAACAAACAGTGGCTGTAAACCAGGGGTTCTCAAACTGGGGATCGGGACCCCTCAGGCGGTCGCGAGGTTTTTCCTGCCAGCCTCCACCCCACTTTGCCTCCTGCTTTTGTAATGATGTTAAATACATTAAAAAGTGTTTTTAATTTATAAGGGGGGGTCGTGCTCGGAGGCTTGCTATGTGAAAGGGGTCACTAGTACAAAAGTTTGAGAACCACTGGTCTAAACCATTCTTCTACTCCTGGGGGAAATTCTGCGCCAAAAAATTAAAAGTTCTGTGCACAATATTTTAAAATTCTCCCTATTTTATTTGTCAGAATAATACAATATAATCACACCAGTTTCATTTATTTTTGGTCATTTATTTCAAAATACCTGTGAACAAGTATGTCTAACAATACAAACAACAAATAAGATTCAAGAAACGTTCTTTTGACAAATAGATTCCTCACTAGGCACATTAATACAGAACTCTGAGTAGTAATTCATTTAAAGTGCAATACAGAACTGTATTTCCCACACCCCTCAGAAGCAGTGCAAAGGCTTTGGGGGAGTTAGGGGTAATGGAGGAGCTGAGGGAGAGGGAAGTAAATTGCTGGGAAGGAGCCTGGGTGTGAACGTGGAGGATTGTTGAGTATGGGTGGGAAAAATATGGAACAAGTTTTTGGGGGGGCAGGGAGGGATTGTTAGGGAGTTTCCCCCATGCAGACCCTGGCTGACCCCTAGTCTCTCCAATTCAGTCAGGCACATCTGCCCCTGTCCCCTTGTTTTCCTGCATCCCACGTGTTCTTGCACCCCTCTCCATATGTGTCCCACTCCCCCCATCACCCTGTGGCCTTGCACCCCCTCCTCGTGTCCCCATGTGTGTCTGTGCTCCCACTCAGCCTCCCCCCGTGGCCCTGCGCCTCCAATCCCATTCAGCCCCTGCACCAGTCTGTCCTCCCCCACTAGCTCTTATGAGCCCCTGACCTCACCTGGCAGGCACTGCAAAGAAGGCAGGCTCTTTCTCTTCTTTAGTTGACTGGGAGCTGCTGCTGTGTTCTTTTGCCACGGTGCCCTCTGGTGGGCAAAAGGCGGAACTGCAGCAATGTTTCAGCAAAAACTTTTTTTCTGCACAAAAAATTGAAAATATGTGTGGCGCATTAATTATTTAATCCCCCAACAGTAATTTTCCTCACTCTTTGGTTATGATGGGTTACAAGACACAGGTTGCATTTGGGTGGATAATTTTTTTATTTGATATGTTTAAGGTAAATGTTGTATTATCGTGAGTACTTGTCTCCTGAGACATCTGTCACTGCATACCCTTATATATTGAGAGTGCAATTTAGCTGAATCATTTTAAGCTTCCAGACTAGACTGGATAGTCTTCTCACTAGCTAAGAATACTACTATGTCCTGGAGAATGTCTTCTCTTCCTCTTCTCTCTTTGCCACCACCCCAAAAATATACCTCAATAGAAGAAAAACGAAGGTGTCTCAGCAGAAATTAGGAAGTCTTTTTAGGCTTCCAACTGTGCACCTGTTATTTAAGAGTGAATAAATGACTCATGGTTCAGTATGAACAGAATCCTTTAATAAGGTATTACTTAGTGTAAGGGTGCCAGAACTGAACAGTCTACTTCATTGTAAATTAGCAAGAGCAGCAATTTTCCCAGTGTGAAGTGAGGTTCAAAGATAGCAGCAGGAGGCAGGGCTTTCTTGTCCTTTCATTTGCTTTCCTGTTGAGAGCAAGTCCAACAGTGGGCAAAGCTGACTGAAGCCACTTAGTGATGTCAAACAACCGTGCAGTAGCAAAACATTTGAACAAGTACCGGCACTGTTTCATGCTGCCTCTCCTTTATGGGAAAAGAAGTCTTTAATAGCCATGCATACCATTCCATTACTAATTACCATTGTGGATTTAGTTGAGTCAAAGGTACCGAGAAAAGTATTCTCTCCGTGGCAGGTGTATGATTTTTTTAAAAGTAATATGCAGGTACAGGGCAGTAATACAAAGATTTTCTCCTGTGGAAAATAGGTTTATAAGTGCACTGAAAGAAAAAGGTCTGAAGCAGCATTAGGGGATTGTGCATGCTCGAGCTGGGAATGTCGTCTACCATTCTCATTCCCAGGGTTCCTCAGAAGTGAAATTGAGTGAAATTCTGGCCCCATTGATGCCAATGATGTCAGTTTTGCCATTGACTTCAGTGGGGCCAGGATTTCACCCTATGTCTCCAGAAGGGGGAGAGAACTTAAGCCATCCCCACTCTTATAGCTCATAGTGTATATGGCAGACAGACATCTTTGCCTTAGGGAGCCACTATTGGGAAGTCTATGAAGTAGAAATAGCTATAATGAAATACTTGAGGGATCAAGACACCTATGTAACTTTCATATATTTCTCAATTTAAGCATTTAAGTTGTACATGAAACCTAATGTACATTTTTAAATGTTTTGCCCTGTAATTATAATACTCTGACATGAGGTCACATCTGAATTCAGCTACCTTGATATTTTATTTTTTGCAGTAAAAATTGTACTTTAAGCAATATCGAAAGATTTTAACAACTTACTATGTCTTTAATCCATTAATTTATTTTTCAGTCTTTGCCTTGATGAATTTTATTGACTTATACTTCAAACTTTACAGTATTGTAGAAATGTATTTAACCAGTATTTTCTTCTCTTGCAGATCAAGATCTACTTGAAAATATATTGTTAGATAGCTGCTTTTACCCATGTCAGTCAATAGTAAGTAACATTCTGTTAGAAAGTAAGCTACTTTATAATGCAGTTCATTATTATATGTATCTAGCATCTTTTTCATTCTGAAGGATACTGAAGTACTTTAAAATCATATTTTACATTTTGAAACTTCATACAATTTAGACCTGTTATTTCGCCGGGCTAAATTTTCAATTGTGTGTGCAGGGGTGTGTGGGGGGAAGGGCAATTATAAATGCATACAACAGAAAAATAGTTGTACAAAGGAACCCACTCATACTGAAGACTCAGCCATTTATGCTGGCCATATGTAGCCATGCTTCAAGTTTTTGTAAGGGTTTGACAACTTTGAATAGCCAAAAGGAAAAGGTGTACTTGTGGCACCTTAGAGACTAACGAATTTATTTGAGCATAAGCTTTCGTGAGCTACAGCCGCTGTAGCTCACGAAAGTTTATGCTCAAATAAATTCGTTAGTCTCTAAGGTGCCACAAGTACTCCTTTTCTTTTTGTGGATACAGACTAACACGACTGCTACTCTGAAACCTTTGAATAGCCAGAATGTTAAAGGAAATACTTAAACTAAGACGTTTGAAAATGTTCTAAAGCTTATTATATTCTTAATTTTGAGTTAATTTAGTAGCACTCATGGCATGGAAATTCTGATAGTTAAGGAAATTCTAGAGTCTTCTGTTTGCTCCTCAAGAAGGGGGAGGCTCAGCAGAAACTTCCCTCATGTTGTTACTTCAGTCAATTTCAAACCTTTTCTGGAAAGGCAATAAGGTGACATTCCCATCCTTGTTGTGGCCTCTTTTTGTGAAATATAAGGGCAGAGTAGCTTAAAAAGGCCATAAAACCCTGTATTTAGCCAGGGGAGGATTTCCCTGGAGCACAGAGGACAGTGGAAGACAGCCATAGGCTGTCTTTGGTGCACCCCAACTCAAGCTGTGATGTGTAGGGCTGGAGCAGTGTATGTGGGGTGTGGCTGCAGCATGCAGTGCTGCAGAGATTCCAACAATGCAGCAGCCCATATGGCAGCCTGAGGATGCTGCTGGGACTTACATAGGCCACAAGGGCTGTCTGTTGCTTCAGGAGCTTCTCTAGTCACCAAAGCAACCCAGGACCAGGACGGTGCAAAGGTGGCTAAAAGTCTCCTTTAGCCCTCATAGACTTAAAGGACAGAAGGGATCATTGTAGTCATCTAGTCTGACCTCCTGCATGTTGCAGGCCAGAAAATATCACCCATCCACACCTGTAATAGACCCATAACCTCTGGCTGATTTACTGAAGACTTCAAGTTAAGGAATCCACCATTTATTCTAGTAGAAACCTACAAGTAACCTGTACCCCATGCTGCAGAGGAATATGATCTCCTGAACCCCGGGTCTATGCCAATCTGCCCTGGGGGAAAATTCCTTCCTGACCCCAAATATGGTGATCACTTGGACCCTGAACGTGTTGGCAAGATCCACCAGAGAGACACCTGGGAAAGAATTCACTGCATTAACTCAGAGCCCTCCCCCTCAAGAATCCCATCGCTGGCCGTTGGGGATATTTGCTATTAGCAGTCACAGATGGGCCACATGCAGTCTCATACTGTACCCTCCAAAAATTTATCAAGCTCAATCTTGAGGCCAGTTAAGTGTTTTGCCCTCACTGCTCCCTTTGGAAGGCTATTCCAGAACTTCATTCCTCTGATGGCTGGAAACCTTCATCTAATTTCAAGCTGAAACTTGTTGATGGCCAGTTTATATCCATTCGTTCTTATCAACATTGGCTCTTAACTTAAATAACTCCTCTCCCTCCTTGGTATTTGGCTGTTTTATCACAGAGAGTAATCCTATTTCCCCTCAGCCTTCATTTTGTTAGCCTAAACAAGCCAAGCTCCTTGAGTCTTCTCTCATAAGGTAGGTTTTTCCATTCCTCTGATCATCCTAGTAGCTGTTCTTTGCACCTGTTCCAATTTTAATTCACCCTTCTTAAACATGGGAGACCAGAAATGCACACAGTATTCCAGATGAGGTTTCACCAGTGCCTTGTAGTATGGTAAAACACATCTCGGGCTCTATTGGAAGTACCTTGTCTGACGCATTCTAGGGTTGCATTAGCCTTTTTCATGACCACATCACATTGGTGGTTTATAGTCATTCTGTGATTTCTTCTCCTCTGTCACTTCCAACTGATAAGTCCCCAGCTTATAGCAAAAATTCTTGTTAGTTCCTAAGTGTGTGACCTCCCACTTTGCACTATTACATTTCATCACATTTCTATTAGTCCAGTTTTCAAGGTCATCCACATCTTCTTTATGATATGCTGGCTCTCCTCCATATTGACAATACCTCTCAACTGTGTCTTAGTCACAGATTTTTGTTAGCACACACCCACTTTCTGTGCTAAAATCATTTATGAAAATCTTAAATAAGATTAGTCCCAAGAACAATTCATGAGGATTCACGAGTAACCCCCCTCCAGCTTGATAGTTCACCTTTTTGTATAACCCATTGTAGTCTCCCCTTAAACCAGTTATTTATCCACCTTTAGATTCTTGTATTAATCCCTAATGAATAGGGATCCTCCCTCCCCTGGCCCAAGATATCAGGAACAGGGGAAGGTAACAAACCGATGTCATGAAATATGTAGGAGGTGTGTAAATTGTATATGTTAGTTGTTTGTTTTAGCCTAATAAATATCAGGGTACTTTGCCTTAATTGTTTGAATGGCCTAGGGGATGTCAGAAACTCCTGCTGCCAACCTGAGCCATTTCTTGCTACTAGGCACTTGTGTCAGTATACCTGTAACCATGGAGCTAGAACGTTGAGACAGTGTCTAGGGGGCAATAAACCGGGTCGAGTGCCTTTGTCACTTAGCCATGGCTGTGATCTTTCTAACATCAAAATCTGCAAAACTAACATGCTGTGCTATCTACCAATAACATTGAAGCTTCAAGGATAGAAGCACTGAGCAGCCTAAACAGCGCTACCAAGGCAACAAAGTGTCAGCCTCCAGCACTCAACCACACTGCATTAGTACTATCGAGGTCTTTTGAACCAGCTATCTGTGCAGAGCTGGGAAAGCACATGGGGGAAAAAAAAAAACACATGCAAGTCAACTGACAACACAAAGCAGGATAGGTTAGGAAATCTTTCTGTATTACAGATAGGGAATTCAGAGAGGATTCACAAACCCCCCATTCTTACCAGGTAGCTGGATGCCTTTATTTCAATGATCAGATTTCCTTCAGAAACTGATCAGGAAATCTCAGCTAACACTACTGTTTTCAGAATTGTCTGCTAAACATGGATGCCTGCTTTGAGATAGCTAGGGTTTGATTTTCAAAGTATTGAGTGCATACATTTCCATTGACTTCAAAAGGTGCTGAGCACAGAGCTCTAGCTGCCTACAAAAATTAGAGGACACTCCTGAAAATGTTGGCTACAGTCTGCTGCTTCATCAGTAAAATAGATAAGCTATTACCAGCAGGACAGTGGGGTGGGAGGAGGTATTGTTTCATGATCTCTGTGTGTATATAATGTCTGCTGCAGTTTCCATGGCATGCATCCGATGAAGTGAGCTGTAGCTCACGAAAGCTCATGCTCAAATAAATTGATTAGTCTCTAAGGTGCCACAAGTACTCCTTTTCTTTTTGTCAGTAAAATGGTGGTGGTAAGGAAGAATTAACTAATGCTTGTAAAGCACTGGAAGATCATCAAATGGACTATTTGAAATGAGAGGTATCATAAATAAATATAAAAATAGTTTTAAAGCAGAACACTTTCTCCAGACAAAGTAACACTTAACATAGAGGAAGGGAAGAAAAATCCTCTCTGCAATGATGTGCTTGAGAATAACTTTTTCACAGGGGACAAATTCTCCTGAGCAAGGTGGATAGTTAATATTTTGCTCATCTCCTCTGTGAGAAAAGTACCCTGACTCCAAGAAGTCATGCACTTCCTCTTAAACAAAACAACAACACCCACCCTCCTTCCCACCGATTACATTCAAAATTGAAGATTAGATTAAACTTTCTTTAAGGCCAAAATTCTCAAGCAAGCTGTGCCCTTGCAGGGAGCTGTCACTTATGCTCCTTTCTGCTCTTATCTACAGTAAAATAAACACCTGTGATACAACATGGCCAGAAGGCAGCAGGAGAGTGATGTAGGAGAGATATGTAAATCCCAGGAAGAAGAGAAGCCTTATTCCCTGTAGAGGGAAGAAAGGTTTCTATAGATTAATTAAAAGCACCTCAAGCCAATTAGAGCACCTGAAGCTAGTCACCTGATAAAACCCCCCTGCTTCAATCAGCCAGGGGAAGGAGTTGGAGCAGAGTGCAGTTTGGAGAAGTGCCATTGCTGGCTAGAAGACCAAGACCCTAGGTAAAGAGACTCCCAGCTTGTGCAGAGAGAGAGGGCAGAAAGCCCCACAAGCTGAAGAGCAGGAGAGGGAAGTAGCCCAGGGGAAGGAAGCACGCACAAGTTCAAGTGGTTTACCACTATCCCTATGGCCCCTGGGCTGGGACCCGGAGTAGAGGGTGGGCCCAGGTCCCTCCCTCTCCACTATCCTTCTCTGGGCAGGAAACTGTACCCTGAACCCCTCCCCCCAAGAAGAGGAAGTGCGGGACCCATCATAATCGTACCGGCAGTTTGCCACACGTGGTGTCAATGGTGGGATCTCCGCACTGGGGACTTAAACCAGGGTTAACCAAAACCATCCCATCCCCAAGATGGACGATGTGGTTAAGGCTCTAATACAAACCACTGCGGCCCAGCAGGAGGCTACCCGAATCCAAACAACCACCCAACAGGAGGCAACTCGGGTGCAGCAGGAGACTAATCGGCTGTTGATGAATCAGGCTGCCCAGGAATGAGCTCTGCTACAGGAGCTGGCAGACCAGATGAAGGCCCTTATGGAGCAGAAACACAATTGTGATGGAACCCGGACTATATGGGCCAGCCACTGCCTACAGAAAATGACACGGGAGGATGATGTAGAGGCGTACCTCCTGGCATTTGAGAGAACAGCCCTGTGGGAG